TTTTAAAAATAAAAACATTGTTTTTATAATGATTAAATACATGCAGTTAATAAGTTTATTTTTTTATTTACTAATCAATTATTGTATCGATTTAAAAAAAAAACTAAAATATTCCAAAGTGCGCCAGTACCCCTACTGTCTTTTTTTTTTTTTTTTTTATTTTTAAAAAAGGTAGAAAGTCACTCCATTGTTAAATGAATAAAACATGAATAAAATAAAACTCTACAGAAATACAATCTCTTGCGGATATAAATGATTGACTAATTTGTTGTTTTTTTTTTAATTTCAAATATAAATAAATAAATTGTTTTTATTTATATTTGTTTCATTAATTTTTTTTTAATTTTTTTTTTTATTTATTTACTATGTATTTATTTCGCTGTAATCTGCTTTATTCATTAAATACTGGTTTGACTTTGTACCATTTGTAAGAAACAAAGTCAGCAGGGGGTATTGGTGCATTTTGGAATGTTTTAGTGTTTAAAACCAAATCATTAATTGATTTTAAATAGTTAGTAAATAAAAAAAAATAAACTTATTAACTGAATGTACTTAATCATGATAAAAACAATGTTTTTATCTTTAAAATTGACGATACAAGCAAACTAAATAATCAAATACCCGAAAATGGAATTTTTTTGGCTTATTTTATGTAAAACTATTTACGCAAAAATATGTGTCAAGGTATTTTTGAAGCATATTAAATCTGCTTTTAATTATTTTACTTCCATGATGGATATCAAAATAATTGTCTCATTATGCACAATCTTTACACGTCAATATCTTCTTTGATACTTTTATTTTGTTTTGATTGAAAAAAAAATTGAGTTTTCATGCAAAGAGAAAATGTTATTTCAAACCGCTGCAAACTACACACAGTCGTCCTGCCACAATGTAAACAAGGTATAACGGTCAGTGAAAAAGATAATAGGTGTCATGGCTGTGTACCCCGAGTTAATTACTGGTAAACATCAATGGCTTTGATGTTGTTTAGAAATGTGTTAGGGGTTTGAAAACCGATTTTTTAATCAAAACAAAGTATCAAAAATCTAATTGACGGATTAATATTGTGCATAATGAGACGATTATTTTGATATCTATCATGTATTTAAAATGATAAAAAGTCGTTTTAATACGCTAATAAAATACTTTGTAGAACATCTACGGATGGAAGTGTTTATATAAAATAAAACTAAAGAAACATAATTTCTTGCAGATAAAAATGATTAATTAATTTGTTGTATTTTCAATTTCAAAAATAAATAGATTAATATTTTATTAATATTTTTTATTATTATTCATTTACTTTATTTATTTACTAAGAAATTTATTTCGCTGTAATCTGTTTTATTCGATAAGTACTGGTTTGACTTTGTACCATTTGTTCCAAAAAAAAAAAGAAATAATATAAAAAAAAAAGAAAAGAAAGAAAAAAGAGAGAGACAGCAGAGGGTATTGGTGCATTTTAGAATAATTAATTTTTTAAAATCAATACAATAATTGATTTTGAATAGTTAGTAAACAAAAAAGAAAAAAAAATTAACTGCATGTATTTAATTATGATAAAAACAATCTTTTTTTTATTTCTAAAATTGAAAAAACAAACAAACTAAATAATCAAATACCCGAAAATGGAATTTTGTTTGGCTTATTTTATGTAAGACTATTTACGCAAAAATGTGTGTCAAAGTATTCTTGAAGCATATTAAATCTGCTTTTAATTATTTTACTTCCATGATGGATATCAAAATAATCGTCTCATTATGCACAATCTTTACCCATCAATAGCTTCTTTGATACTTTTATTTTGTTTTGATTGAAAAAAAAAATTGAGTTCTCATACAAAGAGAAAATGTTATTTCAAACCGCTGCAAACTACACAAGGTAGTCCTGTCACAATATAAACAAGGTATAGCGGTCAGTGAAAAAAAAAAAAAGGTGTCATGGCTGTGTACCCCGAGTTAATTACTGGTAAACATCAGTGGCTTTGATGTTGTTTCAGAACCGTGTTAGGGTTTTGAAAACCGATTTTTTAATCAAAACAAAGTATCAAAAATCTAATTGACGGATTAATATTGTGCATAATGAGACGAGTATTTTGATATCCATCATGGACTTAAAGTAATAAAAAGTCGTTTAAATATGCTAATAAAATACTTTGTAGCATATTTTAGCAAATAAATAAAATAAAACTAATAAATCAAATTTTGGGGGATATAAATGAGCGATAAATTAAAAAAATAAATGAATAAATTTATATAATTCTCATTATTTATTTATCTATCTATTTATTCATTCATTCTTAATTCAGTCGATTTGTAGATTTATTCACTTAAGAAAATAAATGAATAAAAAATATCTTTAGCTTATTTAATAATTTTTATTAATTAAATAGACTTTTATTTTATTAATGCATTCATATATCATTCCTTTCAATTATTTTTTTAATTCTTTGGTAAACAAAAATATCCCATGCATGGATTTGATAATGTATTCTCAAATGTTTAAATCTAGTTCTTTTTCAAAGACAGTTATTACGCTCAAAGATGTTTCAAAGTAGATCAAATAAAAAATGAAAAAGTTATAAATATATATAAAAGGTCCATAAAGTACAATGTATAAGCCGTCTAGCATCACAAGATGAAATAAATTGCTAATTTATTTCTTCTTTATAATGATGCAATTCTCTGTCCTTCTCCCCCGAAATGCTACCACACTAAAAAAAATCACATTGATACAAGTAATAGAAACTAAATTACAGGGGATTTTGTTAAGGCATTTAAAAATGAGTTAACTTTTTACTAAGTCTATATTTTCAAAAAAAAAACTTAAAGTTTTCAAGACTATATTATTTTTCACTCTTAAATGCAACAAAAATATTTTTTAAACTCCTTTTCTTGGCCAAAATAAATGTCAGGGGACGACAGGGAGTAGACAGGGAAGGCAGGGACAACGACAGGGGACGACAGGGACTGGACAGGGAGATCAGAATATGTCAGGGGACGACAGGGAGTAGACAGGGAGGGCAGGGACAACGACAGGGGACGACAGGGACTGGACAGGGAGAGCAGGGACAACGACAGGGGATCATAGGAGAAAGTCAGGGAGAGACAGGAAAATGTCAGGGACTGACAGGGGGACAACAGGGGATTTTTTGGAATCTAAGGGGATATTTAATTCAGTAGTGTTGTAACATCATTTTCCCATCTTTTTAGGTGTATTGTAGTGGGAGGGGGGCTTAAGGGGGGAGTGTAGTATCTTTGTCCTTTCTTTCCTTGTGGGGTTTAGATTTTGAGTTTATTTCATTATCTGCCCATTATTTATGGTTAAAAGGGAGGGGCTCCAGTTAAGTGATAGGTTAGGTTTTAGGTTAAGTGTTAGAGGTTTTGTCAGTATTTCTCCTTATCTCCCAGGTGTATAGATATTTTGAGATTTAGGTAGGGTAGGGTTGTCATGTTTCAGGTTCTTGTATTCCCACTTTCTCTCCCTTTACATGGGTTAAAATGGTCTGGGGTTCTAATAACTGATAGTGTAGGTTTTAGGTTAAATGTTCATATTCCCATCAACATAGGTGTATTTTGGAGGGGGGGGGGGGGCTAAGGGTGAGGGGGAGGTGAGGTTCTGGGGGTTTAGAGTATCTATGTCCTTTCTGCCATTGTTTCTGTCCCCAGGGATTGGGCTCGTTAGGTACAGTTTAGGCCCCGTATTATCTAGAAGGCTGTGCTTTTTCGGTGTGTGCAGTCAGCTTTCTAGAAAATGTTTATCCCTTATCTGTGTTAAAGTCATTTCATTGACTGGTTCTGGGGGTTCCATTGGGGTTTTAGAGTCTTGTTTATTTAAAGTATTTCCTTGTATTTCCCCATTATTAGTGGTTAAAAGGGAGGGGGTCCATAAAGATGATAGTTTTTGGTTAAATTGAATATTTTGAGATTTAGGTAGGGCAGGGTCGTCATGTTTCAGGTTCTTGTATTCCCACTTTCTCTCCCTTTACATGGGTTAAAATGGTCTGGGGTTCTAATAGCTGATAGTGTAGGTTTTAGGTTAAATGTTCATATTCCCATCAACATAGGTGTATTTTGGAGGGGGGGGGGGGGGGCTAAGGGCGAGGGGGAGGTGAGGTTCTGGGGGTTTAGAGTATCTCTGTCCTTTCTGCCATTGTTTCTGTCCCCAGGGATTGCGCTCGTTAGGTACAGTTTAGGCCCCGTATTATCTAGAAGGCTGTGCTTTTTCGGTGTGTGCAGTCAGCTTTCTAGAATAGCTTATCCCCTATTTGTGTTTAAGTCATTTCATTGACTGGTTGTGGGGGTCTGGGGTTTTAGAGTCTTGTTTATTTAAGGTATTTCCCCATTATTGGTGGTTAAATGGGAGTGGGGTCCATAAAGATGATAGTTTTTGGTTAAATTGGATATTTTGAGATTAGATTGGGGAGGGTTGTCATGTTTTAGGTTGTTGTATGTCCCCCTTTCTCTCCCTTTACATGGGTTAAAATGGTCTGGGGTTCTAATAGCTGATAGTGTAGGTTTTAGGTTAAATGTTCATATTTAGTAAATTTTAGTCATTTGCTCTAAGCATCTTCCCATCATTAATGGTTAATAGGGTTTTGGGTCTGTCAGGTGATAAGTTAGGTTTTGGGTAAGTGTTTAGAGTTTGTTACACCATTTGTCCTGATTCCCATCTCTTTAGGTGTATTGTAGAGTAGTTAAGGGGGGGGGGGGGGGGAGTTGATAGTTTGAGTTTTGTTTAATTGGATAATTTGAGGTCTACATTCAAATTCTTACATGTAATTAAGTTGTATAATAATGTGAATAGAGTTTTCCCAAATTTCAAATGCTTAGAAAATGATGATATTGTACATGAATTATTTTTTTCTTTAGTGTGTTATGATAAGAAGGCATTACAATTACTCTAGTCTGCCCTGCCCTTACTGTTCATTTGAAACATGTCCAGTTATTTTCTTTCAGAAAGACTGCATCATTGTACAAGAGATGCTTTCACCAATGTTCCACCAATGTTCCATAGAACAGGCAACTCAGCGCAAACATTCCCATGGACATATTTCATTCTGCACTACTGTTTCAGGTAAAGAATATTGTCTCTTCACATCAGTACTCTTTTTTAGCTCAATGCAAAATGGCTTCTACAGAGTACAGAATTCCGGATTTGGTTCGTTTATTATGTTGCACTTTTAACTGTCAGTTACAACCCAAGCTTGGATATACATAAAGAATTCCGATGACTATGCTCAGTAGGCCATTTACCAGTAAATTTTTAGTGCAGGTGTAAACAATTTATAGGGAGTTGTCTTGACAAATCAAAGTTTGAAGTCAATTTAAAATGACTTCCGATAGAAGTAGATTGTATCAAAACCAACAGGAACAGAATGAACCAAGATAGGCAAGAAAAAGAGAATATTTAATTATGATTGATTGATGTATGTTGTTTAATGTCCCTCTCGAGATTTTTTCACTCATATGGAGACGCCACCACTTGCTGTCGGAGGGATACAAATTTTTCCTATGCTCGGCACTCAGGGCCTTTGAGCAGTGAGGGATCTTTTTCGTGCCAGCACCTACTGCAACATGGGGCCTCGGTTTATATGGTCTCATCCAAAGGACCGGTCTCAATGTCCCTAAGTGGGATTTAAACCTGCGAGGCAAGGATTGACTCCTTACTTCGCGACTCTAGAGCAGAGGCTCTAACCACTGCGCCACGCGGGTGACTATTTAATTATGTATATATCAGTTAAACTTTGAATCTTGGAAAACAACTTTAATACTATGAAAAAAGGGAGCTAAGATGTTGTAGGCCTGACTGTACATTTAAGACATGCACTTGTTAATTAAATTACATTGTTATTAAGAGAGAGAGAAAAAAAAACTTCAAACCCACGACTGGAACATTTTCAAATTTAACACAAAGTTGACTTCCTTTTAAAAAAAAAAAAAGTACACTTAAATCGTGTCATTACTGAATATTGAAACCTTGAATGCACTTTTTTAACATGAAAATTTAATATATATTAATTTTTTGTCATTGTAAGTTAAAGCCTTTTTTAAATAAAAGATTCTTTATAAACAAATACTTGTATATATGTAATTTAATCATGTTGTGAATGGTGTTACGCGTTATGACCAGATTTTTTACTTTCCAAATCTGGTCATGACCAGATTTTTTTTATGGCAAAGGTTGGCAAATATGATCTAGGTCAATTAAGTTCTGATTTGGTTACGATTATGCCAATTAAATTTTTTTTTTAGAGTTTTCCCCCTTGGACTTGGAAAAAATTCAATTTAGAAAAGGGAGGCATAAGTGTTTTACAAACATCTCATGTTCTATTTATTCCTCTTATTCTATGAACAAATATGTTGAATTTCTTTTAAAAGAGATTTTCCCATCTACCTACTGACCCTATATTTTTACCCTGAGTCAGGAGAGGGCAACCAAACATTTTCTTTAAAGATGTCCTGATCCAAAAAATTACTTGTATCAAAAATTTTAGTAAAGATCTAGAACTAAAAACAGTCAATTTCAGCACTGTTACTTAAAGTGCAATATACATGTATATGCGTTCTTGATTCAATCATTTGTGACATTATTGATATAAAAAGAACAAACACCTAAATCAAAATTTTATTTTGGCTTCCTATCGTGAAGACTATGAATGTACTTAGTGAAACTCAAAATCAAACTCTGATACAGAACCCAAACTCAGCAAGATCCATGCCTCTGCAGTGGTGTGCAGTTTGTGAAATTTATTCCCAATATTGTTCCTAACAAAGGGCAATTCAAACATTCAAGGCTGATGGAAACGGTAAAAAATTGGGTTCAGTCATTTAAAAATCAAGGGTAGCTAGGAAATTTAAAAGTTAATTGTGGAATACACCTGTAGCTGGATTTTTGGCATGGCGTATAATGATGATAAGTTTTAGTTTTATAATGATTTTCCCATGCATATCATTGTCAAAGTTATTAGGCATAAAGACGATATCAGGGAACTCGGAAACAACCTGCAATGTGAAACAGAGGGCCTTCATTTTGTTATTTTTTTTCCTTTTTTATTGAAAATTAAATCCACTAGATCTCAACACAAAATTTTGATTCAATACTAGAAGTACTTTTTTCAATTTTGAGTAGTCCCAATCTTAATTTTTTTTTTAATTCTTCTAAATACAATAATATAACATATGTTTATTCTACATCACCTTGCAGGATGATCATATGATAATTAAACACATAATAATTTAATCCAAAAAATGTACATAAGTAATGATAATTAATTTATATTGTTTTGTTTAAACAACATTATGTTAATAATGGTGTTTTTTTAAATATCTATAACAGAGCAATTGAAAAAGTTGAAATATTAATTTTACATTCAGAAGAAAAGAAGAGTATATGAAAACACATTCCCATTGCTGTTTAAAGGGGATATCACATAGATTGGCTTAGTCCTTGGGGTCCCCTTCAGCAGCACTACTAGGGGGACTGAAATTGCCAGTAGCAGGAATTATTAAACTTATAAAACTAAATTCTAAATGTATTATTGATATACATCTATGTATATTTGCATACAAATACAATTTACAGTTAGTAATTTTGTAAACTTATCAAAAATATGTACATTTAATAGTGAATAATTACAAAATTTAATTACTTTACACTAGAATACTTAGTTATTTAAGTGCTGGGAACATTTTTGTTTGTATGTACCATATGTTTTCTTCATTGTTTCATTATGAGGGATAATCCCGGATATTGAAATCTTTTTAAGAGACACCAAAGACATCAGTTACCAATTTTCCCCATACTAAGGGAATGGCACCTTGATCCTGACACTATTTTTAAAAAAAAACCAAAAAATGAAAAAAAAGAACATTTATTAACAAAAGTTGTAGTATAAAATGCAAGTTTTTCATTGACTATAATAACATAATGCTGTCCCAAGTAACCATGAGGCCTATGATGATTAAACTTTCATGGATGATACATCTAAAGTTGCACATTATGAGGCTTGCATCTAGATTTTCCTGAAGAGTGATCTTGGGATGCACACTTCTAGATTATTAGTTTAGCTCTGTAATATAATCTCTGATTATTTATGTTTTATAGAGGGATGATGACATAATTCAGATTGCTGACACTTGTTGGAAGGATCCTTTTCAGTCGCCTACAATGTTCTTTCCACAAGAAAAACCAGCCACTTGTGTTACCGGACTATCAGGCGAGGATGGAGCGACTATCAAGCAAGGATGGAGTCCTTAATGGAATCGGTACTCAAGTACATATTATCTGCTCGTAATGGACTTCACAAACAGCACTCAACAGTGCTCAAGTACAAACTGTATCAAACTTTAATTTTCACCTTAGATTAAAACATTAAGTATTGGTAATTTTATCTCAGTACATGCACTCATAACTGTTAAATTTTGATTGAATAAAATATTACTTGTAATATGAGTTTTTTTTTTCTTGGAATTCTTTCAAAAAAGGCCATTTTAAGCTCATTAGCTGACATGTAAGCTTTACTGATCATCCATGGTGTGTGCCTGTATTTGTATTGGCATTTCCACAAGTCCTCTGGAATTTTTGAGGTTGAAAAAAGGAAATTTATAAACTTCATGACATAGTGCTGATTCTAATTGATTCAGCTCATAGGCCCTGGTGGTAGGTTTAACGGACAATCCAAGATTTACTGAGAATGTATAGAAAACAGGAGACACACAGGCCACACCATTCACCTGAGTAGACATCAGTTTATCATTGAAAAGATAAAAATATGTCATTAAAAATACCCACCCCGTTTCCTTTTTTCCTGGAAAGGGGCGTGAAAAAATTCTTTTTGAGAATTTTTAAGAGTTAAGCAATTATTAGACTTATTGATATGGAAACCTTCTCAAGTTCTTTACATTTAAGAGGAACCCTAATTGAAGTTAAAGATTAGAATACATGGGATAAATCATTAAAAATCTTCCTAAGAACAGCAAATCTATGAAAGTCATATTAATTCCTCCAAATACATGTGCATATATCAGTCACTGCTTATAGTTTTTGAGAGGAATGTTATTCTAGATTTTTCCGTTTATTTCTTTTTCAAAATTTGTTCCCTCCTTGAGACCCCACCTCAGCCCCAAGGGAGGATAGCATGATTTGATGCTGTGTATAAATATGGCCAATTATGGTTTTGCTGTTCGAAGAGAAGCTAATTTATAAGGATATGTGAACCTGACAAAAAAGTAATTGGAAAATTACAAAATGGGTATCAACAGATAGAGGACAAGTTCCTTGATCAAAAAACAACAATTTTGATATATGTACATGAGTTCGTTTCCATGGCAACAGTCCCTGAAGATGACCATGTTTTCAAAGTTTAAAATGATATAGAAAATCACACTAAAATTAAAGAAAGACATAAAAAACTTATAAATTGCAGTTCAAATTAATTTATTTGCTATAATATGAAAGATTGGTGCATAAACATACTATTCATATT